ACAAACTTAAACCAAACTTAAACCCTTGTTTAAAACTCTTTAAACTTGTTTTAAAAACACACTCTTGTTGTTCAAGAGCTGAAGGCAATGGGGTATTTATACCCACTTAAAATATCAGCCAAAATAACATTAAAAAGACCAAAATACCCCTAGAGAATCAAATCAGAATATAACCGTTGGAAAGCAATCATCAGTTCGGCGATCGACCGTGAGAAACTGGCGGTCGACCGCGAAGCACAAAATCCAAAAGAACAATTTTAAAAAGCTGGCGGTCGACCGCGACGGTCGACCGCGAAAGTCTCTGGATGAGCCACGGTCGACCGGGGGGAGCCATAAAAAGGCAAGCTGGGTTTCTGGACTGCAGGCGGTCGACCGTGGCGGTCGAACGCAAACTGATACAAAACATATACAGGTTATGAAAGTTGTTTTCTGATTTTAAAACCATGTTTAAAAATATCAAATAAATTTAAAAAAATATAAAACTTTGGGAAATGATTGTAGACATGATAATACACATGCTACAAAAATTGGTTTTCAGAAAGAACCTCCCAAATAAAAAATATCATCATTTTACAAAATAGTCTAAAACATAAAAAATGTGAACGTATGAGTTTTGACATTTTAGTTTTAACCATGATTTAAAATAATATAAAATGATTTTATAGACTTAAAAAAAGATGTAAACTATTGTTATAAAGTCTATAAATAATGAATATAATATTTTCACAAATACAATAGAATATGAAACATATGAGTATGAATATGAATATATATTTGTTTCATATCTATGAAATTAAACCAAACTAATTTATCCACGTAAAAACAAACATGTATGAATATAAATATTTATTTATATGCTAGTAAAAACTTTGTTTGTGGATAAACCAAAATCCAAAATGTGTACATATATATATATATATAACTATATATATATACATAGAAACCAATAAAATATGTGTGTATATGATATTGAGCTTAAGGTACTAACACACATATTATAAACTCCTAAACTAAATTACCCAAGCTTGATCTTGATCTTCATTGTAGCTCAACTTGGTAATCTTGCGGATGAAGCTTGAACTTGGATCTTCAACTTGAAATGCAAGGCTTTACTCCACAATTCCGCCAATCTCCATTGGATATAATCGTGAATGCGTAATTTCATCCATCCTCCAACTCGCTGTTTGCCTAGAATAAATACAAAAACACAAACACTAGACAAACAATATTAGAAATAAATTATTTGTTAAACATCATCAAAACAAGAAGGCCAACAGATGCTACAACCTTAACAAAAACAAATAAGCTTAACAACAGAGTTAAACCTGACAACAAAGAGCTAAACTTAGCTATCATTCCATAAGCTTGACAACAAAGCGCTAACATTGGCAACTAAAAGGCTAAACTTGATAACCATTCCATAAGATTGACAAAAGAGCGCTAACCTTAGCAATCAATCCATAAGCTTAACAATACAACGACAAACTTCACAAAAGATCAGAAAGCTTGATAACCAGCACATAACCTTGACAGCCAGTCCATAATCTTAACAGCCAGTCCATAATCTCTCATCCGAGATCGTCGCCTCGTTCCGTCGTTCCGTCGTCACCCTCCCTCTCCTCCAACCGAGCCCCGTCGTCGTCGTCCCGTCGTCGCCTTCCCCCTCGCCGTCCCGTCGTTGTCCCAGTCGAAAAACCCCGTCTCTTTGAGGTTAGCTTTCGATCTAGCAGAATTTCAGAACTTCGTTTGAAGTTTTATGACCCCGATTAGATATTGACAGCACTAGTAATCTCAAACCCTAGTTTTCTCAAACCCTAGTTTTGTGATCCCCGACATCCAGTTACTTTTACTTTTCTAATCTATGTTTAATTTTACTAATTTAGTATGAACTTGTATTATTAAGGATAATACTAGCTAATAGAAGAATGTGCAAGATCTACGCTTTGAGTATTCACTCTTCATGCTCAAAGCCTGAGCTTATAATAGTATTGTAGAAATAAATACATTAATCCAATCGAATAGACGAATATCAATGTTAATTGTACTAAATTGAACTTTGCTGCAGTATTTTATTTTAGTATTAAAGTCTTAAACGCCAAGTAAATATATATGCCTCAAGATAGCGGCTCTGGAGGAAGAATCGTATACGCTTCAATTTTGTCGTGACAAAAATAAAATAAAAAATATATTTATAGCACGATTAGCATTATCCAGTGCACTGCACAAGCTCATCCATCAGCAGTATTGTTTTATGAAATTAATGTGATAAATCTTGGATGATGAAAGGAGAGATGGAAACTGAAAACATGAAGCAGTATTACTTTGCTCTCAAAATATTTTTTTCTTGTTCATAGAAAAAGAATGAGGGAGGAAATTTTAGACTTGTTCCTTCCTATTATGTTCTGAAGGAGCCTATAAATTCTTTGAGAAACCAATTTTTCTACTAGATGATTCTCATCTACGGACATTTATGAGCACATAATCTTTCATAATTAACAATTTCCACTAGTTAAAAAAAGGCATTTATGATGGGTCTGTCACCAATTGTGGGGTGACTCATTGGTCCTATCTTACACATGGGCTCTCCTATCTCTTCATATTTTGGTTTGATATATTATAAAGTTCTCATGTCTATCAAACAGTTTGTGATTTGAATTGTACAAATGTGATTATATAGGTTTGTGATTTGAAAATGTGTGAGTTATGGAAGAAAAAGTTTTCAAAAAATAGAGTGATATATAACGCAATATTATATAATAATGTGTTATATATTCAATTTAGGTAAAAAATATAACGTTAACCCTAGACTCCCGTCCAATAATTACAGCCAATTCTTTGAGGTTATAATATAAGATGAACGAGTCAAATTTGGGTAAGAGGTAAATTTTCCTACTCGAAATTTATCGTTCACTTAATATTATAATAGAAATGAATTGGTATAGAAATTTGTAATTATTGGATCTGTCCTTCTCGGACGGGTTAGGAATATAGTAGTGCATACATCCAACTTTGTATACTTTGTATGATTTCATTTCTTAAAAATTTTGACAGCTCGTACCTGTTGTTCTCCGTGTACAATAAGCGTATGTTGTTCTGCGTTTTGATATGTTGTCAGTGCGCATAATAACATCCGCACAGTGTACAGGGAGAACAACGGGTAGGTGCTGCCGAAATTTTTAAGAAATAAAAATATACAAAATATATGAAGTTGGATGTAAGCACTATTATATTTTTAATGGGATAGAAGCCTTCCTATAACAGCCGTTAGAGTGTGCTAATTAGTCTCTATACCTTTATAAGTTTCAAACATACCTTAATGCCGATACTTAAATGCAACAACACATGTTTTGAATAGTTTAAAATTTTTGGGTATACTATCTATTCTCAAATAGAGTTTCTAAATATATATTACCTACAGATGAGGAAAATTCCTGACAAGTCATGGATAGATATCCCTAGGAGTGAACGGTTTCGTGATCAACGTTATAGGGATGGATGTGAAGCCTTCATGAAGTATGCCGAAATAAACCCAAAAAATTTAAGTAGCTGTGCAATGTACTGCCCCTGTTATAGGTGTAAGAATATGAAGCTGAAAAATAAAGACGAAATACGAAGTCACTTAGGGGCTGTTTGTTTGCCTAAAAAAGGAGGGAAATCAAAGAAAAGGAAACCTATTTCTAAGAAAAATAGGTTTTGGGATTGTTTGGTTGGCTAAAAAAAGAAGGAAATCAAAGAAATGGAGATGAGATGAGATGAGTTGTCACCTTATTATAGGATGATGTGAGTGATTTTTTAAGAAAACTTGTTTTGATGTTGTTTGGTTGGCGGAAAAAATAAGGAAATGAATTATAAGAAACCTATTTCTTGTATTAGGTTGTTTTTTTTTGTTTGGTTATTTCTTAAAAATAAGAAATTAGATGAAATGAGATGAGTTGTCTTTATATTATTAGATGATGTGACTCACACTTAAGAAAATTATTTTCCTAGCTTTTTGGAAGGAAAACAAAGAAATAAAATGTTAATGAGATGAGATGAGTTGTCACAATCTTATTGGATGATGTGAGTGATTTTTAAATATGAGATGAGATGAGTTGAGTGATGTTGTGGATGAAAATAATATTTTATTAGATATGGTGGATGTGATGGATGAGTTGTTGGATGAAAATAATATTTTATTAGATGTGGTGGATGAGTTGTTGGATAAAAATAATATTTTATTAAATGTTGTGGGTGAGTTTTAGGGATGGAAATGTGTGAAATTGTACTTTTTGAGATTTTTCGGTTTTCATTTCTATTTTTTGGTTTTTTAGGAAATAACCGAACAGGCCCTTAACAAACTCTGGTTTTTACGCGGAATATAAATATTGGTCCTATCACGGGGAAGGTTGTACCGTAGATGAAGTCCCGGATGTGCATGTCGATACCAGTCATGGTGTCAGGATAGATGATATAGAAGTAAATTTACAAACTGATATCGGACCTGACCATACCGAATACGATATTAACAATGACAATGAAGATGATATCATAGTTGATGTCCAAGATGCTCATGCTCCTGAGGACTTGGATCGTATAATGAAACTACTAGAGGATAGTGAAAAGGATCTGTATGAGGGTTGCACCGAGTTCTCCAGATTTTCATTTATGTTAGACTCTTACATATTAAGAGCATCAGTGGAATGGTAAATACTTATTTCGAAATGCTTCTTGATTTGCTGCGGAATGTAGTTCCAGGAGGAGAGCGTAGCATTCCTAAAACAACTTATGCGGTAAAGCAAATAGTTTCCGATTTAGGGCTTGATTACAATAAGATTGATGCGTGTCCCAATGATTGTATTCTCTACTACAAGGATAATAAAGACCTCCAGGCATGTCCTACATGTGGAGTTTCTCGATGGAAACAACAAACCCGCTCTTCAACAAGGCAGCCAACAGAGTCAATGTAGCTTCGCCATTTCCCGTTAGTTTCCAGATTGCAACGTCTGTATATGAACAAAGACACCGCTAAGAACATGAGGTGGCAAAAAGAAGGCCGTATAAAAGATGGTAAGCTGAGACATCTAGCTGATGCAGAGGCTTGGAAGCATATTGATAAGACTTTTCCCAATTTCGCTCATGAATGCAGAAATGTCAGACTTGGGCTTTCTAGCGACGGATTCAATCCGTTCGGGGTTATGAGTTCAGGTTGGTCTACATGGCTAGTTGTCTTAATACCATATAATTTACCCCCACTATTTTGTATGAAACAACCGTATATGATACTCTCATTACTGATACCGGGTAAGCATGTACCGGGTAATGATATTGATGTCTACTTAGAGCCCTTAATTGATGAGTTAAAACAGTTATGGTCGGAGAGTATGTTGATATATGATGCCCATGCTAAAGAGTCGTTTAGACTTCGTGCTATCCTAATGTGGACAATTAATGATTTTCCAGCTTATGCTAATCTTTCTGGTTGGTCTACAAAAGGCAAGTTTGCTTGTCCAGTATGTGGCCCAGAATTTGAAGGCCTTCACTTACCATATAGTCGAAAGTGTTGTTATTGGTTCAACAGGAGATGGTTGCCCTCGGGCCACAAATACAGAAAATTGAGCAATAAGTTTGACGGCACTGTTGAGACTAGGAAGAAACCACGTCAAATGACCGGTGCTGATATTGTAAAGTTGCTTGAGCATCTTCCTAAAATTAGATTTGGTAAGAACCGATATTCTAAGTACGACTCACTCAAAGTTAGAGGCTCCGGCAAAAAGAAAAAGACACTGAAGAGGAAGAGAGCATCCAACGGACACATGTTGATAATGGAGTCGATAAATTACCAAAGGGATGGAGTAAATTCAATATCTTCTTCCAGCTGCCATACCGGCAAAAGCTTAAAATCAGGCATAACTTGGATGTTATGCATATTAAGAAAAATGTTTGTGATAATACAGTTTCAACCCTCCATCAAGATCCTAAAAAGTCAAAGGATGACCTAAGGGCTCGTCAAGACTTAGCTGCATTAAATATCCGGGAAGATTTGCAAGCACAAGATGTTGGACTTAAGAAAAAACATAAGCCTTCCTCTCGTGTTACGATGTCGACAGAGCAAATGCAGAGATTTTGGGAAGTCCTCAAATCAGTAAAATCACCAGATGGGTATTCAGCTAATATATCAACTAATGTCCAGGTACAGGAGAGGAAGCTCTTAGGCCTAAAGACCCATGATTATCACGTTCTTCTACATCAATTGCTCCTGGTTGCATTGCGTGATAATATGGAGAAAGAAGCATCAAAAATTATTATGGAGTATTGTGGGTTCTTCAGAAAATTGTGCTCAAAAGCTATAAATGTGAAGGAATTTAAAAAGCTTGAAACAGAAATATCATTAATTTTATGCAACCTGGAGTTAATATTTCCTCATCCTTTTTTTAAGGTCATGGTCCATGTTACTCAACATCTAGCCAGCGAGGCAATCATTGCGGGTCCTGTATCTTACCGTTGGATGTACCCAATTGAGAAATAAGGGACTTAACCCAGTGCATTAATTTCATATGCAATGTATACAGCTAATTTTTGTCCTTTCTGTGGTTTTCTTTAGATTAGATATTTGTAGTTCATAAAATTTTAATTATTGTAGATATTTGGGGTTTATGAAGCGCCTAGTTTGCAATCGAGCTTATCCAGAGGGTTCTATGGCTGAAGGTTACGTGATCAATGAATGTCATATGTTTGCATCACGTTACATGCACAATCGCGTAAAAGCTGATCAGCCTCCAACTAAGGAGAAGAAACTCGTAAAATATCCAAGATCTGACTTGGAGCAGGTTCATGCATATGTATTGAATAAACTTGACATTTTCAGCGATTATCAAAGGTAATGTACATTAATTTAGGAATAGGATGACACTTGTATTATTTACTTTTATTGTACCAATACAATCTCATTGTTGTATAAATAGGCGACATTTGGAGAAGCTTAACAATGAAATATCAGGCAGGAATGTAGCACATGATATCCAAAAAAACACATCAAAGATTTTCCCGATTGGTTCAGAACCGATGTAAGTAGCATAGAAGTAGTATTGTATTTTTTTATTTTTAAATTTTTAAGCAAACTCGGAGATCATTTTATTCAATTGATGCTTGAATTAGGTTGATAAAGACGTTCTTGCTGGTGTCGTAATCTTTGAACATATTTTAGTTCACGCACAATGTCCTTACTATGAAGTGAGACGATATAGTGAACACATCATTAATGGGTATAAGTTTAAACAGTGGCGACCGATGATAAGAGGGTATCACAAAATAGTGGGGTCATGGTCTGTTTTGCTCAGGAATATTTTTCTAGCATAAGAGATCAAAACCCAGTTGAAGCTGACGTCTTATATTATGGCCAGTTGGAAGATATTGTAGAGATAATTTACGGTTATGGTAAAAAAAGTCAGCGTAATTATTGCATGTTTAAGGCTCGATGGAGTCCTGCCAAATCGCGCAAGGATCATTATGGGTTTACACTTGTAAACCTCGACAAAGAGATATATCTAGATGAGAAGTTCATATTCGCAGAACAGGCGGACCAGTGCTTCTATGTGAAAGACCCAAATGTTGCCCACCGATTGGGTCGTGCTATACAAGGAGCCAAGATCTATTGTCCTCCCTAATAATAATATCGATAGTGATGAGGACAATGAACTAATTGGTTCTTCTGATAAAATTTGGCAGAATTTCTCTTACCCTCAGAATGTCATGCTTGATATGACAGATGCGGAGATTCAGGCTGATAACCCAATTTAGTCAGGGATAGAGAACCAGAGGTAGATGTGCAACTAGAATCAACTACTAGTAGACGAAAGCAGACAACGTTAAATATAGCCCGAACAATACAAACAATACCTCGTTCAATACGAAAATAACAAGTTGTAGAAGGTATATTCTGTATGTCATTTTAGGCGCGGATGTTATTTAAATGTTTAATTGCAATAGATGTTAATCTTGTGAATTAGTAGGCAGATATTTCTTCTTTAATTCTCCTAATCCAATTTTACAGATGAAGAACTCGAGGTTATTCGATCGATCGCGTGATCGGTCACGATCTACGAGCCTAGGCTCAGAACAGCTTCAGGAGGCACACATTTCATCATATATGGATATATGTATGAATTTCAATTATCTTTGTACAACTCAAAGTAGACATATGAAACATCATGTAGGCTAAGATCTTTTTATATGGGTAGATGATGCGGAATTATCGGGTCGTCTTCGGGACACAACTCTAGCATTCTCGCCTCATATAGATATTAATCATATATGTGTTTGTAATATTTATCCAATCATATTTAAAGTCCAGCTTTTGTATTTAAAATCTATTGTATGTTAGCAATATTAATTTTTATTTGCATAGATAATTTGGCAGACATCGATTATTCTTCACCCGGAGCCACTGATTCACATGCAGAGCCCTTCCACTCTACAGGTAATGGTGTCGCAATATATTCATTTTTACTTTGCATCTCAATATAATTATCCTTCAATTTTCTCGTATTGATTATCTTCTTTAATCATTGTAGAGGGTTCTTAGACACCATCGTCTTACCCCTGACATCCCCCATCTACCATTGCCTCCAGACTCGATCATATCAAAGACTAATGCTTTGAAGTATCATCCACTTGCACTCAAAAGGCTAGATGAACTAAAGCCTATGATGCAAGTTAGGAAGTAAGTTGCAATTGCTGCGATGGATAGAGAAGTGGAGAGAGGTAAATTTAATAATTTGTCCTATTGTTTTCGCCTTTTTACACTTAACTTCTGTTGTCAATGTAGGGGCAAAGCGAGATGCAACTGGACCGGGAGGACGTGGTGGAAGCAAGCCTGATTCCAAACAGGCACTGAGAGGCTTTCGGGGAATTCTTCAGTGGGTTGATAACTTGCCGATCGGCTCATGGTCAAAAAAATTTAATAACTACATCGGCGTTTTAGTACGGCGGACCCAAATCATAAACCCGTACTTCAAATTCAAGGAGCTTCCATGGTCCGCATACGAGGATATATGGACAGAGCTGATGGTATATGATCATTACTTCGGTATTTTTTGATATAGAATACGTTTACAAAATGCTTAGATATCTTATATATCTAGATGCAAAATTGTAGGAATACTATTGTCTTGAGGACTACCCTGGGGCGTGGCACTATGTTTTCAATATCAAAGTTGAGGCCGTGCTCAAACAGTGGGGACATGAGCTGAAGATATCAACATATGATAAATATACCCAAGATTGGCAGAGATTTTTAAATCTCGATGAGAGGGTGGATCTCGATCATTTCACGGCTCTTCTTTTTTATTGGGATACCGAGTCCGCACAGGTATGAGTACATTATCAGGTTGCGTACAAAAGCATATTGTAAATGCAATTCATTTTAACACCTTTTTTTTGTAGGATAAATCTAAGAAGGGCTCGACGAACCGACATAGCAAGCGCAAGCTTGACCACCACTTGGGATCGACGTCCTTTGCCAATCTTGAGTATAGTTATTGTCGAGACACGGTATAATATTTAAAGTTGATGTATTCACATGCTACAACCTTCAATATGACCAAACTCTTTGATATTTACTATTGTATTTTGTAGGGGAAGCCGATAATGCCGATCAATTTGAAGGCAGAGTTAGCTTACGGCACCTTTCACTCAACATATAAAGATGAAGACAAGATTAAAGAAAACATGGTGTTGGTGGTAATTATTTTTTAATAAATCATTAAATAATAACTATTACGTTGTTGTACATTTCATTAATTAATAGTTTAAACTGTTGTACTTTGAAATCAGGCTTCTTAAAAAAAAATTCGCATTTCCACCCACGGCTTTTTACAGGGCCACATTCATTATTTGACAAATCAATATATATCTATTTTTCTTATGTGATTTAGGATAATATTGCTGCCGCGTCGAAGGATGCAGCACTACGTGCTACCCAAGAAGCTGCTGATGACCCTCATGTCTTGTCTAGAGAGGAAAATAATGCCATTGCAATGAATGTGATGGGGTATAATAACCGGGGCAGATTTCCATTGATGGGGGTTGGAGCTCAGCGGGGTACCTCCAGAAAATCCTCCACGGCATCCTCGACAGCCTCGACTGCGACAACATCATCAAACAGAACTCACACCACTTCTACAATTATGCACGTCAACCGTTATCTACGTGGTAAGATCGACCATACATTACTCATGTAGATGACGACGACTATGTGTTCAGATTTGCCTCCATCCCCTACTAGCGACGATGTTTTTACACACATCGTTTTATGCTTGTCCGGGAAGATTTTAGCTGAATTATTTGAAGAAGTTTTGGACCAATTAGATTTAGACGATGGCGTACAGGTTAATTAATAATTTGTCTTATATTGTTGAATTTCATTCTCTAAATGTAAATCTATTTATTTTCAGGCTGGACTTGCAGCAAGCCTGATTCCAAACAGGCACCGAGAGGCTTTCGGGGAATTCTTCAGTGGGTTGATAACTTGCCGATCGGCCCGTGGTCAAAAAAATTTAATAACTACATCGGCGTTTTAGTACGGCGGACCCAAATCATAAACCCGTACTTCAAATTCAAGGAGCTTCCATGGTCCGCATACGAGGATATATGGAGAGAGTTGATGGTATATGATCATTACTTCTTTAATTTTTTTTGATATAGAATACGTTTACAAAATGCTTAGATATCTTATATATCTAGATGCAAAATTGTAGCAATACTATTGTCTTGAGGACTACCCTGGGGCGTGGCACTATGTTTTCAATATCAAAGTTGAGGCCGTGCTCAAACAGTGGCGACATGAGCTGAAGATATCAACATATGATAAATATACCCAAGATTGGCAGAGATTTTTAAATCTCGATGAGAGGGTGGATCTCGATCATTTCACGGCTCTTCTTTTTTATTGGGATACCGAGTCCGCACAGGTATGAGTACATTATCATGTTGCGTACAAAAGCATATTGTAAATGCAATTCATTTTTAACACTTTTTTTGTAGAATAAATCTAAGAAGGGCTCGACGAACCGACATAGCAAGCGCAAGCTTGACCACCACTTGGGATCGACGTCCTTTGCCAATCTTGAGTATAGTTATTGTCGAGACACGGTATAATATTTAAAGTTGATGTATTCACATGCTACAACCTTCAATATGACCAAACTCTTTGATATTTACTATTGTATTTTGTAGGGGAAGCCGATAATGCCGATCAATTTGAAGGCAGAGTTAGCTTACGGCACCTTTCACTCAACATATAAAGATGAAGACAAGATTAAAGAAAACATGGTGTTGGTGGTAATTATTTTTTAATAAATCATTAAATAATAACTATTACGTTGTTGTACATTTCATTAATTAAGAGTTTAAACTGTTGTACTTTAAAATCATTATTTGCCAATTCAATATGTATCTATTTTCCTTATGTGATTTAGGATAATATTGCTGCTGCATCAAAGGATGCAGCACTACGTGCTACCCAAGAAGCTGCTGATGACCCTCATGTCTTGTCTAGAGAGGAAAATAATGTCATTGCAATGAATGTGATGGGGTATAATAACCGGGGCAGATTTTCATTGATGGGGGTTGGAGCTCAGCGGGGTACCTCCGGAAAATCCTCCACGGCGTCCTCGACAACCTCGACTGTGACAACATCATCAAACAGAACTCACACCACTTCTACAATTATGCGCGTCAATCGTTATCTGCGCGGTAAGATCGACCCTACATTACTCATGCAGCTGACGACGGCTATGTATTCAGATTTGCCTCCATCCCCTACTAGCGACGATGTTTTTACACACATCGTTTTATGCTTGTCCGGGAAGATTTTGGCTGAATTATTTGGAGAAGTTTTGGACCAAATAGATTTAGACGCTGGCGCACAAGTAAATTAATAATATGTCTTATATTGTTAAATTTCATTCTCTAAATGTAAATCTATTTATTTTCAGGCTAGACTTGCTGGAGGAAGCAGTAGTGGTGTGTAGAGGAGGGAACTTGACGATGATGATGACTCTTGATTTTATGAGGTAAGTTAGTTAATTGTATGTGTGTATGTGTCTTGTGCGCTTAAATATTTTATGCGCTTAACATACAAAAGTTTCTTCATAATAACTCTATATATACTTGACTGTATGTGTGTATGTGTCTTGTGCATGATTGAAAATGACAAGGAAATTATTGCTATAAGTCTTCTCATGTGTATGTGTCTTGTGCATGTGTATGTGTCTTGTGCATGTTGATACTTGACTGTATGCATGTGTGTATGTGTCTTGTGTATGTGTCTTGTGCATGAATTATAACTAGTCACAGATAATCAAGAAGTCGTCAAATTGGTCCTTTTTCTGCTGTTTAATTAGTTGTATTGCCAAACTACCAAGGATTTGTTCTAACTTGCAAGTGATTTGCTTTACCTGTAGACATGAAGTTGGCGAAATTTTGAGTGGATGTCACACATGTGTGCATTACTTCTCTTTATAGCTTTATCCTCTCAACTCCATTAAGATTTACATATTGACCTTGCTCCTTATAATTATAGCCCTTGTCTCTTTGTAATAATCAAATCTCAAACTAAATCCAGCTTAGGTTCCACTTTTGTAAAACCTTAATGTGCACTTTTAATCTTGACCGAAGGCAAATCCAAACTAGTCCACACAATAATCAACTTCCGAAACTAGCAAACTCTGACACCCATTACGATTGCAACCAGGGCAAAGTCTTACATCATTCTCCTACAGAAATATCAAGAAATTTTTATTATTTAAAGCTGACAATGTTTCCCATTGAAAACTCAATTTACACTGTACATGAAGCCAAGTGCTTTCATCAAAGAAGTAATCCATCTTGTTACTTTGTTTGTGAGAGAAAGAGATAGATTATATCACCTATCGTCTTTATGATGTTAGATCAAAGGGGCTTCTGAGCTTCTCTTCTAACTTTCATACTATGGCCAGCTGCAGCTCGGCCTGTGCTTTCTATTCACCTGCTTTCGGCGATTGTAGTTCGTCCTGGATGTTATGTTTTATGTGAACTTGTTTCTTTGGTCAGTACATATTCATCATGATATGATGTTATTTACTTTTTGCTTTCTTTTTCAATCAAATATACAAAAGACTTTCATGTAATTTTTCTTTACTTTATTTGTCATTTTTTTAACAAACTGATTCTGCGATGGTAGTTCGTCCTGGATGTTATGTTTTTATGCGAACTTGTTTCTTTGGTCAGTACATATTCATGATATGATGTTATCTTCTTGACTTGTTCAGTTACGTGAACTTTCAATTGTGTATTATGTGAAAAAGATTATAACAAAGAAGACATTAATCTCCATTGCTGGTTCTTTGCAAAGGAGAATGATTGATAATTAGTGAACGACTATTTTACTGCAGAAAAGTAAATGTTAATTGCTATGTCAATTTTGCCTTTAGAATTAGTCAATTTTTTCACACATCTACGTATACAAGATTGAAAATAATACAAATATTAAAGTAATATAGTGGTATTTAAATATTTCTTTTTCGGGAAAAAAAAAGTGTTTAAAATGGGATAAGGAGATTTTAATGAGACATGAACATTCTTTTATTGTATTTCTCTTTCTTGCTTATTGCTGTCAGTTTTTATGAAGTGTTTCCTTTGCACTCAAGTAGAATAATTAAATAAGGGTAAATTACACTTAAATAACCTATTGTTTACCTAATGTTGGACATAAATGCCCTCGGTTGTATTCGTGAACGGCTGCACTTAAATACCCCAAAATTTCTAAAAGTTGCACTTAAATACCCTATTAGGGTTCTCTGTGTGAATGGCTTACAACTAACTCTATGGATCCATGGAAAAGAACAAAAAAGGGCGATGATGATTTGCCCAAAGGCATCAATTACTTGATTGCAAAGGTTATGGAATTGGCGAGGCAAGCTTGGATGGCCTGCTACTGTTCAGGCCAGCAGCTTGCAGCCATCCATTTGCTTTGTTTGGGTGGGTGGGGTTGCATCATTCGTTGTTAATGATGCTATATTAAACAGGGATATCTAGGCCTCCATAACATGTTAGACACTAGCCCTCGGGCTAGCATTGGGTCAGGGAATCCATTTCCTTGTAGCACTTGCAGGTCTGGGAATCTACAGCTGCTGATAAGGGTGGAAGGTTATCAAAAGGTTAAATAGCATGTGATTACCTTCTAGTTTGCATGGCTTTGCACTTATATACCTTCCCTTTTTTTTCTTGACATTTACATGTGCTCTTGTTTTTCAATGTAGTATGTTGTTGCTTCTGTTAATCAACAATTGGAGTATTCTCCAAAATATTCTCCTGTGATTTTCACATGCTAAAATTTGGTCAATTACTAAGCATACTTCTAAATTTAGGAATATATATCATATTCTTAAAAATAATGTCACCTTCTTTTATCTTGCAGGTGCATGTGTTTCTTTGAGCATCGCTAGAGAAAATAATGCTCGTGGACCTGGATATCGGTTTGTAAATCGTCGTCGTATTTTTAAATCACAACTTTCTTTGTGTTCCTAAAACAAATAGTGAGTTGCTTAAGTTGTGCGGCAAATTTATATGTATATATATGTGGATGATTATAAGTTGGCAGAGATACTTTAAGAGAGAGATGATATGTATGAAAAAACATGTGTGACTTTGTTGTGTAGTCGTTTAGAATTGTTTGTGTGATTTATATAAGTTAGTTTGTGGATAGTTTAATTGTTTGTGTGGTTGGTATATATGTGATTTTTATTGTTGATTTGTAAACTGGATTTACAGGTTTATTCAATAGGAAATTTGAGTGGATTTACAGGTATACAATAGCCAATTTGGAAACTGCATAATAGTGGGAAAGAAAGTATCCCAGACGGATTTTTTACATCCCAGACGGAAATATCCGCCTGGTATGTAAAATCGTCTGGCTTACTGCCAGACATCCCAGACGAAAAAATTCTGTCTGGGTTAATTTTCCCAGACAGAATTTCGTCGGGGATATTCCCAGACGGAATTCCGTCTAGGATAAATAACCCAGACGGAATTTTTCGTCTGAGACACATAATATCTCAGACAGAAAACTTCCGTCTGTATTAAAACCCAAACGGAATTTTTTCGTCTGGGATATTGTGTATCTCAGACGGAAAATTCCATCTGTGATGTATCCCAGACGGATACATCCCAGACGGAAAATTCCGTCTGGGTTATTTATCCCGGACGGAAATAATCCGTCTGGAATGTATTACAGACGGTTTTTTTTCCGTCTATAAAAATCCATCTAGAATACATTCCATACGGAATTTCCGTCTAGAATAAAATATTCTAGACGAAAACTAATTAGACCGGTATTCCTGACGGAATTTCGTCTTGAATAGTTTTTCTAGACGGAATTATGGTTATTCCAGACGGAATTTTCCGTCTGGAATGCGTCATTTTGTACCAATGTATCCAGACCATTTCTGACCCACTAGCCTCCTTTCATGCATGCGCTTCATTATTTGTTTTCGTATGGTCTCAACCAAAGGTAAGATTCGCAACAATCGTGCCTTTCTTATCCAGCTGTTGAAGGACTCAGCAACGTTTGAAGTAACATGATCATACCTTAACAACAAAAAACTAATTTTAACAATAAAACCATAAACTAAACATTAAAGGTCTAACCTTAACAACAAACATTCTAAACTTAACAACAAACATTCTAAACTTAACAACAAAACCATAGCAGAATAATTCTAACCATAACAATAAAAATCTAACCTTAACAGAAAACTGTAGGATAACTCTAACCTAAATAACTATAACGGTGCTGTAACAAAATAACGTTGAAACCAAGCTATCTTACCTTATACCAGGAAAATGCGTGTTTGCCCATCTCTCCGATGAGTATTCCATTACAGTGACGTAAGCCCTGTGATCGATCGCTGTCAATTCTTTCATGTCATCATCTCATTCAGATATTGTGAACTTATAAGCCACTGATTGTAACAGCTCACCCAACGTAGTCGCGACATTTGCCTTGTGCCCAAAATCCTTCATCTTCTTTTTGAAATTCTCGACTAGATGCAGAGCACACCTTGAATGGAATGCGTCTGGAAAGAATTCCTCGACTGCTGCCCTAATACCCTTGTCGGCGTCGGAAATCATTACCAGTCGATGTGAAGGTTGGTAAGGATTTTTCCTATCATACAGTAACGTCCATAATCCTTGTAAGAACCATTTCCAGTTAACCTCATTCTCTTGGTCGCATACGTAATAAGCAAAGGGAAATATTCCCTGGTTGCCGTCATACCCAGTGGCACTAAGTAGTATGCTTTTGTAACGATCTTTAATAAATGTTCCATCTAAAAACAATAGAGGCCTACACCCAGCAATGAACCCTTCAATACATGCATTATAACTAATGAACAATCGCCTGAACCTCCTATCATCAGCATCAATAACAACACGACTCCCAGTATTAGTTGCATGCACCATGGATTCATACCTGCATGAATATAACAACAAAGCAGTACATTTAGCAACAGAGACATAACCATACAAACTGATCTTCAAACTTCACGACCAACACGTATACTTAACGACGAACCAAAAACTTTAACAACTACTACGTATAGTTAGCAACCAAAACATAAGCAGTAGATTTAGCAACGGATTCATAATCATAACAACTGATCTTCAAACTTCACAATCAACCCGTATACTTAACGTCCAACCAACGACTTTAACAACTACTATGTATAGTTAGCAACCAAAACGTAAGAGTGATTTCATAAGAATAAAAAAGATAAGGACTATCTCAGTGAATCATAAGCCTCATCATCGTCACCGAAGAGGTCCTGTTGAGCTGTCTCCTTGCCCCACCATGCTTTACTGTAGTTAATCTTGATGCCAAAATTAGAGAGCATGTCGTTCTTGATATCAACTACACGAAGATCTTGCCTAGCCTTCAAAACAATTTGTATTTGGCTAGCAATGAACTTCCTTGATGCCCTTGAGTTGTCAGCATTTGCTCCATGTTGACCGCAGGTGTGGGTAGATTCAAAATTCTTTATGGACATGATAGACAAATTTTTGAGCGGGGAAGCAAACAACATCCAAGGGCAACCATGTGTGTGCTTGAATCGGCAATAGACTCTTATGCGTCTTTGTTCATTGTGGTAAAAATCATACTCGAACCAATTATCAATTGAATAGTATTTAAGTGCTAATCTAACTTCAGCAGCACTATCAAATTTCTGACCAACTTCACGTATGGAGGTGTGCCACTCAGTCGGGATCTTTGTTTAGTGGTTAAGCATGTCATCCAGCAGCATGATCCAGTCGCCGGTGGGGTTATCATTAGGAATACACTCATCATTATAGGTTTGGATGAACGTGGTATCTGCGCACCGCGAATTTTCTGTCGGTATTGTCCTGAAGTAGTAATAAAAATACATAACCTCAGCAACGAACTGATAACCATAACAACGAACTCATAAACGTAACAGCTAACACATATCCTTAACAACTAACCCTTATACTTAAGGACAGACTCGTGACTTTAACAAAAAACACATATACTTAACATCAAACACCTTATCATAGCAACCAACTAGTATACGTAACAGCGAACAAATAACCTTAACAACCAGTCCTTAACATAACCTTGACAACCAACTCATTACCTAAGCAACCAATGCATAAGGTTAACAACTAATGGCAAAACCTATCAGTGAACTCAAAAGGAAATCTGGAGTGTAATTCCTACGTAGTTTCCGGCGTAGTCTACGTGTTCTGCGAAGTTGAGGATTCTCCAGTGGTGGTAGCATACAAATTCGCGTTTGTAAATCCATTACGCCGACAATACTCGAACATTAAATTTAAGTCATCGTCATTGTCAATTGAAATACTAAATTTCTTTTCCCTTTCGCATATGAACTTCAGTGAAAGAGATTGCATTGGTATTTTAAATCTTTCCGACACTTGATATTTCAAACTGATTATTTCTGCATTTTCTTTGATAACGACAAATACACTGTACCACCTTTGTTGCTTTTTACCTTCGTTACCACGCATAGAAGAGATCCATCCGTCATTTTATTACAGGGAGTAGTTGAAGAAACCTAGAGGCTTTTATTGAGGAGAATTAAGTGGAAGGAACAAATTAGTTAGGGTAATAGAATGGGGAGGAAATCAGCGATTTTATTACGGCTGGAAGAGGAATATATCTGGTGATAATTTTGGAGGGAAATGGGAATTCCCCCCCTAAAAAGGCATTCTAATCACCATTTAATGCCTACAGTCAAAACGTCATGTTTCCGACGTGAGAGGGTGACGAACCCAGGCTGTGAAGGGTATTTTGGGCATTTCGAGAGGGGTTTAAACAGAGTTACGGCTAGGGATTCGTTTTGGGGGATGGAAGAAAATCGCGGGCGATTTTGGGGGCAAAGCACCCGTTGAAAAAGTCTTGGGGGGAGCACGTTTTCTTGTGTTTTGGGAGCTGGAAGCATTTTTCCCTAGTTTTAATTGGAGTGGTGTTAGTTCTATTGTTGCTCATGTTAGTTCTATTTTATATCTTGTTAGTTCTAATTTATATAATGTTAGTTCTATTTGTAGTTGTGTTAGTTCTAATTTATATAATGTTAGTTCTATTTGCAGTTGTGTTAGTTCTAATTTATATCATGTTAGTTCTAGTTGTATTCATGTTAGTTTTATTTGCAGTTGTGTTAGTTCTAATTTATATCATGTTAGTTTTAGTTGTATTCATGTTAGGTCTATTTACAGTTGTGTTAGTTCTAATTGGAGTCATGTTAGTTCTATTTTCATACCATGTTAGTTCTAACTTTACACGTTGTTAAACCTCACCTAATTCATGTTAATCATATTTTTTTTGTTCATACTAGGTCTACTTGGAGTCATGTTAGTTCTATTGCAGCTTATTTTAGTTCTATTGCAGCTCATTTAGTTCTAATTGGTGTCATGTTAGTTTTAATGGAGTATCTGTTAGTTCTAATTGGAGTCATGTTAGTTCTATCGCAGCTCATGTTAGTTCTATCGCAGCTCATGTTAGTTATATTTAATATTCATGTTAGTTCTAATAGAGGTCATGTTAGTTCTAATTGGAGTCATGCTACCTCTATCGCAGCTCGTGTTAGTTCTAATTTGAATGCTTATTGTATTTGTTACAGCTTTGATACTACGAGATGACGGGCATAAAGAAATATGCCTATGTCGACAGCTTCAGACCTCCAATGACAAATTCGACATCAGAGGATGTGAAAGTCTCATCTATGAAGATGAGGACAATTACATGTTAGGTTTAAATTAACAAAAAAATTAGAGTCGTCACAGTGTTATTGTTTGGGGTGAAAGTTGATTTTTTCATTGTGCAACTCATTACAACTTCGAACGTTACAAAGAGTTTAAAATTTTGATCTTTTTATAAGATCTCCCCACACAATAAAATAACAAAAATTATAATTCTTCTCAAACAAACGCAACGGACGTTTATCTCCCGCTGCTCGCATGAGATCTTTATCTGTGATGGGGATGTTGATATCCGTGGACTACCAAACGATCAGATCGATCTGGAGTTTAGTTGATTCGCTAAGGAATCAAGAAACCGAAGTAATTATCTCGGCAACATCGAGATAACAACTCTTCTCAAGAGCGCAGCTAGGTACAATCTCAAGGGAAGAAATCGGGAACTGTAGATCTGACGAACTCTTCTTCTTTATGCCTAAGAACTTGATCTGATCTTCTCCTCTTCTCTGAAATTTGTGCTCCTTCAATCTCTAATTCTGCAGGGCTTCGCCGAGGTTTAAAAATTTCAGATCTATACAAATGAAGGCCCTAAGACTGTATTTATAGGCCTCGGGATTACGCCGACAATACTCGAACATCAAATTTAAGTCATCGTCATTGTCAATTGAAATACTAAATTTCTTTTCCCTTTCGCATATGAACTTCAGTGAAAGAGATTGCATTGGTATTTTAAATCTTTCCGACACTTGATATTTCAAACTGATTATTTCTGCATTTTCTTTGATAACGACAAATACACTGTACCACCTTTGTTGCTTTTTACCTTCGTTACCACGCATAGAAGAGATCCATCCGTCATTTTATTACAGGGAGTAGTTGAAGAAACCTAGAGGCTTTTATTGAGGAGAATTAAGTGGAAGGAACAAATTAGTTAGGGTAATAGAATGGGGAGGAAATCAGCGATTTTAGCTGGGCTGGAAGAGGAATATATCTGGTGATAATTTTGGAGGGAAATGGGAATTCCCCCCCTAAAAAGGCATTCTAATCACCATTTAATGCCTACAGTCAAAACGTCATGTTTCCGACGTGAGAGGGTGACGAACCCAGGCTGTGAAGGGTATTTTGGGCATTTCGAGAGGGGTTTAAACAGAGTTACGGCTAGGGATTCGTTTTGGGGGTTGGAAGAAAATCGCGGGCGGTTTTGGGGGCAAAGCACCCGTTGAAAAAGTCTTGGGGGGAGCACGTTTTCTTGTGTTTTGGGAGCTGGAAGCATTTTTCCCTAGTTTTAATTGGAGTGGTGTTAGTTCTATTGTTGCTCATGTTAGTTCTATTTTATATCTTGTTAGTTCTAATTTATATAATGTTAGTTCTATTTGTAGTTGTGTTAGTTCTAATTTATATAATGTTAGTTCTATTTGCAGTTGTGTTAGTTCTAATTTATATCATGTTAGTTCTAGTTGTATTCATGTTAGTTTTATTTGCAGTTGTGTTAGTTCTAATTTATATCATGTTAGTTTTAGTTGTATTCATGTTAGGTCTATTTACAGTTGTGTTAGTTCTAATTGGAGTCATGTTAGTTCTATTTTCATACCATGTTAGTTCTAACTTTACACGTTGTTAAACCTCACCTAATTCATGTTAATCATATTTTTTTTGTTCATACTAGGTCTACTTGGAGTCATGTTAGTTCTATTGCAGCTTATTTTAGTTCTATTGCAGCTCATTTAGTTCTAATTGGTGTCATGTTAGTTTTAATGGAGTATCTGTTAGTTCTAATTGGAGTCATGTTAGTTCTATCGCAGCTCATGTTAGTTCTATCGCAGCTCATGTTAGTTATATTTAATATTCATGTTAGTTCTAATAGAGGTCATGTTAGTTCTAATTGGAGTCATGCTACCTCTATCGCAGCTCGTGTTAGTTCTAATTTGAATGCTTATTGTATTTGTTACAGCTTTGACACTACGAGATGACGGGCATAAAGAAATATGCCTATGTCGACAGCTTCAGACCTCCAATGACAAATTCGACATCAGAGGATGTGAAAGTCTCATCTATGAAGATGAGGACAATTACATGTTAGGTTTAAATTAACAAAAAAATTAGAGTCGTCACAGTGTTATTGTTTGGGGTGAAAGTTGATTTTTTCATTGTGCAACTCATTACAACTTCGAACGTTACAAAGAGTTTAAAATTTTGATCTTTTTATAAGATCTCCCCACACAATAAAATAACAAAAATTATAATTCTTCTCAAACAAACGCAACGGACGTTTATCTCCCGCTGCTCGCATGAGATCTTTATCTGTGATGGGGATGTTGATATCCGTGGACTACCAAACGATCAGATCGATCTGGAGTTTAGTTGATTCGCTAAGGAATCAAGAAACCGAAGCAATTATCTCGGTAACAACGAGATAACCACTCTTCTCGAGATCGTAGCTAGGTACAATCTCAAGGGAAGGAACCGGGAACTGTAGATCCAACGAACTCTTCTTCTTTATGCCTAAGAACTTGATCCGATCTTCTCCTCTTATCTGAAATTCGTGCTCCTTCAATCTCCAATTCAGCAGGGCTTCACCGAGGTTCAAAAATTCCAGATCTATGCAAATAAAGGCCCTAAGACTGTATTTTTAGGCCTCGGGACCTCCGTTTTCGGATAAGAATGAACGATTTGATCTTATCCTCAGTTGTAACCACTTTATCATGTTCTAGGATAATATTAGATCAGTTGGAACAAATTCAGATGGTTAACGGTCGAAAAATGGCTCAAAACTGCAAAAAACGACTTTTGGGACCTGCGGACACCCACACAGTGT